CCCTTAAACATTGCAACACATAAGTGACAGTAAATTTCTACTTGCTAATTCTCCTTGGGACATTTTTATTTTCAGTCACCTAAGCACATACAGAACTAATGGTGTGCAATGAAACAAACTGAGCCTGCAGTAAGACAACTGAAGGACTTGGCAGAACCAAGACCTAAAACTTGTCTATGTAATGAAATTTAATTGCATAATTTTCCTGCTTTGATTATTTTAATACAGACTCCCAGTGAATCTTCACTCTGGGATAAAAGGGAGCTTGGATCAGTAGAATTATGCCACTAAATTTCTCAAAATAGACAAGTAATCCTGAGAAAAAAGAAAAGTCAAGATTAAGAAAAGGCAGGTGATCAATGGTTCTACTCCAAGCATAAAACACCAGTGAGCGTGAAATCAGAGTATGTATGGTCATGGCAGACTGAATTATCCACATAGTGTATTGATAATGCAGTAAATGTTGACTACTTACAGAGGCTGTTTCAGGACGACCTACTGTTAGAACTGCATGACTTCGACTGATGGACGAATCATCATGAATTAAAATTGCACAATTTTTGCGTCCGACAACATATTCTGTACCACTTAAGAGCCAATATGGCTCTCCTGAAAATAAATGAGACAGAAAAATATTAATTTACAAAAAACTCCATAATACCCAAAGCACTGGGGAAACATTGACAAGTTTGTAGTAATCTGAAACTCAACTTTGTCAACTTTTAATAGACTGACTAGAATTATGCATTTACTTTATAGACAAAATCTTTCTTCCCCTCTCCCTTGCTTTGTGCATTATAGAAGGACACATTTTATGATAAACAAAGCAGTTACAGAAGTAGCAGTATACTTTTTTTTAAGGACAATATAATTTTACTAATACTTTGCTGCTTAACTTTTCCCTTGTATTACTTCTTGAAGATTAAGTGTTGCATATAGAATAATAATAATAAAAGATTATGACGCAAGATAGCTTTTCCAAAACACAAGTTCCAAGGGTACATAATTTTCTGACGGTACATAATTTAATCACATAAATTAATTAATAGGTTCAGAAGAAAATGTCCTCCTAATGAATGTAAGAAGATCGGCAACGTAAATGAAACTGCTATTTAGTAAGCTCAGTCTCTGACTCATGCTTTAACTCATTCTCGGTAACTGTCATCTAGACCTCATAGTGACTTTTCAGTGAATGGCTTGACAACATCCAAAAGGTATGTTACCTGCTGGTCAACAGAACCAAAAATGTTTCTTGATGAAAATGAATGCATAACTATGGATTAAATTGTAGTTATCAACCCTGAGCAGACAACTTTCCAAATATAAACTGCACAGAAACGATCACCTGAATACAATGACAATATCAGTGTTTTGGCTCTTGCTCTGCCTTCCAGGCAGTAAGAGACAACTCAGTCCATTTCAACAGGACTAGGTCCTGTTGCCACTAGGAGATACACTGAACATCCAAAATTCTCTCCCAATGAATCTGGAAATAAAGAGTAGATGCAATTGTAATGGGACTGATCATTATACGGAAAACATTTACGTCAAGAAGGAATTTGTGTATTGTGTGGTCCCTATTATCAAAGTTATCAATGTATCAAAGCTCCTATGGATAAGGAAACTGATGAAGGTATAGCGGTGGTTTAGTTTCAAAACTCTGCATCCAACAAACAACATGATGTATTAAGTTCAACACCTGGTCCTTGAAACATCAACATATTTAGGCATCTCTTCTGAGAGACTCCTGAGGTTGACTTCTGCCTCAGACCCCAACTTTTCAGGTATTCCAGAGCAGCGCTCTGTGACCTGCTTCACTGCTGCAGCAGCATCTGAAGACACCCCACACTGGCAAAGCCCTATTAAATTTAACAGGAGCTGTGGTCTGCGCTGCCCGACGGAAAACCGGAGGCTCAGCCGCGGACGAGCGCCCAGAGCGACGAGGACTTCTGCCACCGCTGGTCCGCACCGGACCACGGCGGCTTTGCCTGAGACCGAAACGCCGGCTCCTGCCGCCGG